TTCATGAAAAAACAGAAGAAGAAAAATAAACCAAGCCGGACATGGTTTTTTTCCCACCTTTTCTTGCCAGCAAATCTATGGCTCTCGTGGAAGCATAAAAAACATGTTCTGTCTCTCGCGAAAGTAAACCTTTGCGTTCATGAGAAATAAATTTGTGCCTCTCATGGATGAAAAATAATGTTTTTCTCCTTTTCGAGCGACGCAACTATGCCTTTGACAGGAGCAAACCTTTGCCTCCACGAGACGCAAATATGTGCCGCTTGCAGAAGCAAAAGAAAACATGTTTTTTTGATAGGCACACCAAAGCAAACCAACCTATGCCTCTCGTGGAAGAAGAAAACACGTTGTTTTTCCTTTTCGAGAGGCATAGCTGTGCCTCTTACGGAAGCAAACTTGTGCCTCCGCGAGAAGAAATCTGTGCCTCTTACGGAAGAAAAAACACATTTTTTTATGCAAAAATGAAAATCTTCTCTCCAATATCTTGGGAAACCCATCAGAAAACTGAAAAGCCAAAATACCCCGAAAAAACTCATCTAAAGCACGGAAACGAGTACAGAAAAATTAAAAAACAAAATTCTGGCGAAGTGTCCAACACGAGACACGTGGCTGCTGAGAACGCGTCAAGTGGTGCATTCTGAGCCCATTAAAAAATGACCCATGAAGGGCTACCGCAAGGGGTGCCCCTCATTTAGTTGCTCTCAGGAAAGTCGCGCCCTTCGGAGCCATTCTAAAACCGCTCCCTGAACGGCCAACCCACAGTCAGGAGCTACTGAGAGATTCATCTGTACGCAGGAGCGGCCAACTCTTTATCTATCGTATCCTTAGTTCGCTTGCTGGCATCGTTGGTTTCATCTCATTTCATTTTTTTTTTGGTTTTTCTGTTTTCTTTAGTTATTTCTGTCTCTCTCTCGAGTTCTTTTCATTTTCTTCGGAAAAAATCCACTATTTTCTTTGTGTTCTTTAGCGGATTTAGCTGTCTTTCCCTTATTTTCTTGCTTTTCACAAGTTTTTTGTTTTCTTTCTTAGTATCTTCATTTTTTTCTTTGAATCTCTTTGTTTCTTTCATGTTTTTCATCGGTTTTTATTTGTTTTCCTTTCCCGCTTTCACTGTTTTCCTTTCTTTTTCAATGGTTTTCTTCGGTTTTATTTTCTGTTTTCTTATTTGTTTGGTTGCCTTTGTTTTTGTCCTTTTTTTCTTCATTTTCTTCTTCTTTCCGGGCTTCCTTTGTTTTTTCTTGTTCCTTGTTTCCTTCTCTATTTTTGGTTTCTCTTGGTTTTAATATACACTCGAAATTTTCCGTATACATCAGAAACATTTGTATATACAGGTTTCACATTTTTGAAATACATGATTAACATTATTTTAATTCTTATACTTTTACGTCTATTTTTTGCGTACATATTATACATTTTTATATGTCTACTATATTTTCCTAATACATGCTTAAAAAAATTTGATACAAGTTTAGCCTTTTTTTAATACATTTTCAACATTTTTTCTTTGCATATTTTAAACATTTTTTCAAATGTTTGATTAATATTTTCTAGATACAAGACTAACATTTTTTGAATACATGGTGAAAAAAATTTCTATATCTTTTTAGCTTTTTTTAAATGCTTGATTAACATTATCAAATACAAAATTTAACTTTTTTAATACATTGCTACATTTGTTATATAAAAAATTAACATTTCTTAAATGGTTGATTAAAAGTTTTAAATACATGATCAATTTTTCATGCACATTGTATTTTTTATACATTTATCGTATACGTGAGAAAAATATTCTCTATACATATTTAACATTTAGATGTTTGGTTAACATTTTTTTATATATTTTATGTTAAGTGTTTTTCCTAATATGTATATTTAGAATATTTGGCACATCTTGCGTGTGGCTGGGCCGGCCCATCTGGAGCTTGCCTTCACGCAAGGGTTCCCTACATCTCTACACCTAGCTATAAGTTTGCCTCAAAAAAAAACTAGCTATAAGCGAGATGTTGGTTATCCCAGTGATCTTTTATTTCTACCTACAAATATTGTGGGGATATAAATAATAGTAAAATGCATCACAAGTTCTAAAACTATTGGTGGTGTGTCATTTTAGTCCCATAACATTGAAATTACAGTTTTGGGTCCTAAAACTATTGAAGATGTGCCTGTTTAGTCCTATAACTTTAAACCTACAGTTTTGGGTCCCAAAACTATGTAAGTTTATTCATCTAGGTCCTAAGCTTGCATGGCCAGTATCTATGGTGCATTTTTTTTTTCAAATGAGTCCTTTATATGTGTTTACTTCCTCAAAAGTGATCAATACGCTTATAGGTCACAGTGTGTGTTGTAACCTACATGCCCCAGCTGCAGGCACAGCCCACAGGTGGGTATCAATTGGAAGTTGTGTTACATGTCGTTTCTACTACTGTGGGGTGAGGTTAAGATGACCGATCTACTCTCCTCGTTGGAGCTCGGGCCGTCATGCCACTGTCGCCTCTGAGCATTTTGTGCGTTGGAGAAGATGAGGGCATGAGAATGAGGCGAGACAATGCTCTAGGGGTTTCTTGCATATTTACATTTCATAAGTTAACTTGGTGGGTCCATTGGGTCAATGTCGCAATAGTCCAAGTATCTCCAAGCGACACGTCGGTGGGTCAATGTTGGGCATGCAAACTTAGGACTTGAGATGAACAAACTTACATAGTTTTGGTACCCAAAATTACAGTTTCGAAGTTTTATGACTAAAGTGACAAACCTCCAGTAGTTTTAGGACCTAAAACTGTAATTTCGAAGTTATAGGGTTAAACTGACACACCTACAATATTTTAGGATTCATGATGCATTTTACTCTTCAAATAAAGCTATGAGCCAGACACAGGGCGTACCCTTCACCGGGAGCGGTTGTGATGGGCGATACATATCCCAGATCACCTATTGGGCTGCAGAAAGGGAGGGAAAGGAATCCAGCCATTTCCCTCGCCAATTTTCATATGCAACACCCAAAATTAGCTCCTTTTTTTAGGGTAATAACACCCAAAATTAGCTCTTCTGTTAAGGGTAACACCCGAAATTAGCTGACACAGCGCGGCCAGCTTGCGGTGGTTAGAGCAACTGTTCCTTTGTCACCTTGCCTTGTGACTTGTCAAAGCCAATAAAGCACTGCCCATCTCGAGCTCCCAACGCCATCGCTTCCAAGCTCCAACTCAGAGCAGAACCGAGCTTATAATTTTACAGATTACTTACAGGTTAGCTGAGCACACAACACCAGAGACTCAACATCAACTGCTGCCCTCATTCCCGAGTGCACTGAACTTGCCCCGGAGCTGAGCGTGGCTCGTTCCATTATCTAAGCAAGAATTGCTAGTGAATTGTTGCTGCAACGGACCACGGCGCCACCTACTGAACTAAAGAAAGCTTCTTGTCCTGATATGTGCGTTTGTTTGTGCCCTTGTCGTAAGCAGTAGCAAAGCCGAGAGTGGAAACTAAACAGTATTTTTGCTGTTGTGGAGCTCAACGCCCTCCAGTTGTAACCGAACCTGTGACTCGGATAAATTGGGGTTTTGGACGGGCGTGCTCCTTTTAACATTCCTCCCTTCCATACTGTTAGTGGCTGTGGCTCTGTGGATGTGACAGCTTTTTGGAGGTTGGGGGGTTCAGCGAGTGGTCAACATCGTTAGCCAACTATGTGGAACCAATGAACAAGAGATGCTTGTTAATTTTCTATTCAAAACTTTTCAAATCCATGCAAATTTGTGGGCCTGGAACAGTTCAATCTCCAACTGACGGCCAAACCAGAGGGGAGGGGTGTGGGGGAAATATCAGGTGCTCCCACCCATGAGGGGCTCCAATTTGCAATAAAAAGGAAAAAAAACAATTTTTAATTGTCCCAAAGGTTCTGGAAACAAATGTGAATGTTCACAAGGAATGTGACTACAACCCCTAAAAATTTCAGGTCCAAACTCCAAATGCACATTAAGAAACAGAAATGTGAAATATAGCATGAATATTGTCAAAAGAAGACAAAAGCAACCTTGACACTATTCACATTTGAATTTGTACTTTTTTTGTTTTCCAATGTGCATTTGGATTTTGGACCTGAAATTTTTAGGAGTTGTAGTCACATTCCTTATAAACACTTACAATTCTTTTTAGAATTTTTGAAACATTTAGAATTGATTTTTTTTTTAATTAGAGCTTGGGAGCACCTGATATTTCCCGAGGGTGGTGACCTAACTGTGAGTTGTCCGGAAAAACTTTGTTGTCGGTAGATTCTTCCTCCTCCTGCTGCCGCCAAACGACGCCATCAGCGGTGCATGCCTTGTCGCCTTCAGTCATTCCTCTAAACCCCGACCCTTCCCCCTCCCACACCCGGACCCGTCAACCTCTGACTCCCCTCCCCCAGCGAGGCCGCCGCCGGGTCGTTCCTGCGCGGCCCCAACTTCGAGCTTGGGCTTTCGCGCAAAATCGGCTGGTCTAAATTACAATTTGAAGCAGCTGACGAATAGCAAATGCAGGAAGAAAATCTTGCGGTATTTTAGTTCGGCTCATTTGATCATACACCAACAACACGAGGATTCATCATCCATTGCAGCGATGAGCCATTGCTCAATCGAGGTTTCCTGCATGCAACACTGCAATCTGATGGACAACCCCATTGAAACTACCAGAAAACTGTAGTAGAACATGCCGATTTCTCATCCATGGCTCAACATATCTCGAGAACTGAAACTACGCCATGGCTGAACTAGCTGCATCACGAAATTCAGAGTGGTCTGCTAAACCACACAACAAATTTGGAGCATTTTGCACACAAAAATGCATCGAATGGAGAGCAGATTTGGAATCTAGAAACCCCCTTCCTCTTTACACTGCACTGCCTGGCGACACCCAAAAACCAAGTTTGACATGCATACACACATACACCCGGGGCCTTTTCCCCCAACACCCAGGAGGCAAAAGAGCAAGAACGACAACGACGACGGCGACGGGGTGAAGAAGAAGCCAGGCTACTGGCAGAGCGGCGAGAGATCCCACAGCGGGTCGCCGGCGGACGCCTCGAACACCCTGTCGAAGTACTCCTGCAGGCCGTTCATGGCGTACAGGGACGCCGAGATCCGCCGCTCCACCTTCATCCGCTCGAACTCCACCATCCCGGCCGCGGGGGCGACGCTGGTCTCCTCCGGGGACGCGGCTGGCAGCGTGCAGGCGTCGACGGCGGCGAAACCGTCCAGCGCCGGGAACTGGCCGAACGACGACTCGAACATCCAAGACTCCAGCTCCTCGGTACCGGCGACGGGAGCGAAATCCGGCCTGTACACCTCCCCGGCGTCCAGTGCCCCGCCGCCTTGCTTCATGGCGCCGTCGCAGCTGAGCGCGCTGCTGCTACTGCTGCTGCTGGCGCCCCCACAAGCGCCATCCATGCTATTACTGTTGCTGTTGCTATTGCTATTGCTATTGCTTGTGGCGTATGCGGCGGGAGCGGGCGGCGTGGAGGAGGAGCCGGGGATCTTGGCGGAGGCGGCGGGCAGCCTGGCCTTCTTGAGCTTCTTGTGGTGGAGGAGGCCCCGGATGCGGACGGCGAGCGGGCAGTCCGGGGAGATGCGGGGCGCGAAGTTGGTGCGCGCCTCGGCGCCGCGGAGGAGGCGGGCGGCCTCGTCGTAGGCGCGCGCGGCGGCGTCGGCGGTCTCGAAGGTGCCGAGCCACATGCGGATCTTCTGCGTGGTGTCCTTGATCTCGGCCACCCAGCGGCCCGACGGGCGCTGGCGGACGCCGACGAACTTGCTGTGGCTGGTGCTGCCCTTCTTCCGGCCCCGCGGCTTGGTGGGCTTGGCCTGCGCGGCGGCGGCGGCGGCCTCCTGCTGCTGGTGGTAGTAGTAGCAGTAGTCCTGCAGCTGGAGCACTGGCGGCTGCACCTGGAAGTGGAGCTCCATGTGCGCTCGGGTTGCTTTGGCTTGGCTTAAGTGGAGCTGGAGGAGGTGTGAGAGGAGGAGGAGACAGGTGTCTGCAGAGTGTTTGCTCTGGTTGCTTGGCAAATGGGAGGATTTATAGGGGCTTCAAGGATGGTTTGAAATTTTCAGATAGGAGGATGAATGTATTGGTGGTGATCCCACCCCTGCATCGCCACTATAATTGACCTTTTGTATTTTCTGTGATTTTTGTTCTTAATTCAACATTTACTTACGAAGACCCTGTATATATTCTAACAATTAACCCAAATACTCAATGTAGCTTAATATTGGATCGCATCAAGTCATGTCATTTCACTTGAGTTTAGACAGTGGAATGCCATTTCCCACTTTCTCCAATAAAATACGTAGGTGCATACAAGCAAGCAAAAATCCATGGCAATCTTTACCATCTTTAACATCCTCCCACTTGACTAATTCAGTCAAGGGGTCTAATCTAATCCTCATAGGGATTTACCAATTCCTCCTCAATATGGTACTGTCTACTGACTGAACAAGCCGGCAAGTAATTAAGCAAGCAAGATGCCTAATGTGATTACCATATGAACATGTTCCCACCTTAATTAGCCAGGATGGAAGAGTCAAGGGGTCTACATCTCCTGGCGATTTACTACTAGTAGGTCTTCACCAGCATGCGTCAGCCACTAACCGTAAACTTTTGGGCCACTGATTAGACCGGTTCGTCCTTAATCCGTGGTTATGTAGTCAAAACGCTGCAGAGACCGAGTCGAGAGCCTGCCATTTGGCGGCCTTCGAGGCAATGATGATAGTGGCGTCTGTACAAGCGGCTGAAAAACAACTTTTCAGGAAACCGCGCCGCCTGGCTTTTGTTTTATGCATCGGAGTCGCTTGACATCTTCGCCATCTGCCAAGTCTTTGGTCTCGACTGGATGAGGTGGGCGTGTCCCTGGCTAGCTCAGTTTTTGGATGATGGCATCTCCTTGGAGACATGTGGAACATCATACACATGTCACGCAGCAGGCTCACCCCAAACTGTTTATCATGTTGCATCAGTGTGGAAAACATCTACAATGGCTCGTAACTCAGGACCTCTATGGAGCATTTAAAAAATATATGTTAAGAGCAATTCCAACGCGCCGACCTAAACGGACGATGTTTTTGTTCGCTTTTTATCTGTTTGGGTCGGCCGCCCGCTCGGCGTCCGTCTTGTTTGAGATTTGGGTCGGCAGTGCGTCCAACGCGCCGACTCATATATGCCGGTGTGGCCGACTGGCCGCTATTTTTCAACAAATTCACACACAAATTTTGCACTATTTCACAAGCAAATATATAGTCCACAACCAAATAAATAGCTTAGTTTTACAAACCGAATATAAATAAAATAGTCTCACATAGTTTTGCAAGCCGAATAAAAAAGATACATCTATTCATTGCCAACATGAGTCCACATATGCTCAACCAAATCATTTTGTAGTTGCATGTGAGTTTCCCAATCACGCATGTCATGATGAAATTTGATGAACTGTTCAAACGTTGCCGCTCCTCCATGCTCAAGCACAACATTCTCACCCTGAAACTGAAACCCTTGATAGTACAGACGTTCCGGGCGCTCACCTTCTACGATCATATTGCGCATGATCACACAAGCAGTCATCACCTCCCACAGTTTCTTCGTGCTCCAAGTATTAGCAGGATACCGAACGATGCCCCATAGAGATTGCAAAACACCAAAGACACGCTCGACGTCCTTCCTAGCACTCTCCTGCTCTTGCACAAATCTTTTCCTCTTCTCTCCGACAGGGTTGGGGATTGTCTTCACAATAGTGGTCCACTTGGGATAGATACCATCACCCAGGTAGTATCCTTTGTCATAGTTGTGGCCGTTGATGGTAAAGTTCACCGGTGGGATGTTGCCTTCGGCAAGCCTAGCAAACACCGGCATGAGCTGAAGCACGTTGATATCATTGTGTGATCCTGTCATGCCAAAGAAAGAGTGCAAGATCCAGAGATCTTGAGATGTCACGACCTCAAGTATGACAATGTAAGCCCTGACATGTCCCTTATACTGCCCTTGCCAAGCAGAAGGGCGGTTCTTCCACTCCCAATGCATGCAGTCTATGCTGCCAAGCATCCCTGGGAAGCCCCTGCTGGCATTCATCGCCAATAAGCGGGTTGTATCTTGAGGAGTTGGCTCTCTCAAGTACTCATGGCCAAACACATCAATGGCAGCCTTGCATAACTTGTACAGGGAGTCTAGGCATGTAGACTCGCTCGTACGGACATACTCGTCAATGAGATCATCGGGCACTCCGTATGCAAGCATTCCGATGGCTGCAGTGCATTTTTTATAAGAGGAGAAGCCACTCTTTCCAAGGGCATCCTCTTTGCACTCGAAATAGTCATCGTAGCCGACCGCCCCCTCTCTAATACGGTTGAAAAGATGCCTACACATACGGAAACAGCGGCGGAATTTTTGATGTTTGAACAACAGGTTCGTTGTGTCAAAGTAGTCCTTCCAAAGAAGGAAACACCTGCTCTCTCGGTTTGCGATTCAACGCCGGAAGGTGCCTCAGAATGGATCCATAGAACGACGGGCGCTGGCTATTGAGGTGGTGATGGACCAATAAGGTAGCTAAAATCTCCTCCTCATCATCGGACAAGGAATCGTCGAAGTCGCAAAGGAAATTATGAAAAAAGAACTCGTTGGCGGAGTCCATTTTGTACCTTGGCAAACTGTCGAACAGCTTGTGGGCGTCGACGAAGGAGCTGGCCAGCGAAGGGAGTCGCTCCACCCTCGGACCAGCTAGCTTCCCTGGTGGCATCCAATGAGCGTGCCGGTGTTAGGACGAAGGAGCTGGTCGGGCGGCGAGGCGGCTTCTTGGTCGCGGCTGTGTCGGGGAGTGGGGGTGGGAAGCTTTCGGGTACCCGACGGCAAGACGGCGGTGGCAGCGACGTCGGAGGTGGCGGTTGTAGGAGGGATGTTGCAGCACTGGCAGGTGGCAGAGGAACCGGAAAAATGGGCGGTGGCGGCGACGAAGAAGGAGGCAGGCTAGGGGTTTGTTGTTGGAATGGGAGAGGATGGCCAATCTGCCACCAACTAGCGGGCCATAGGAAGGAGTAGGCAGGCGCGGCGCGCGTCCGTTTTGTGTCCACGCTGATGCAAATGAGGCTAAAAAATGGGCCGGGAATGGGTCGGCAGGCGGACGCAAAGCGGACGCGCGTCTGTTTGGGTCGGCGCGTTGGGTCGATTTTTCTGTCCACGCCGACCCAAACGGACACGCGTGGACGAAATGGGTCGGCACGTTGGAGTTGCTCTGAGCGCATCTCCAATGTTGACCTGTGAATTTGCTCTCACATCCGTCCGCGAATATGGGACCAATCCGCGGGTATGAATGTTGAAGCCGCACATCCATTTCTATCCGCATACGTCCGGCCCCAATTTTATTTTAAGTCTGAGTGTTCAAATAACCACATATATAGTCTAGAATAGTTCAAATGTCCAAATGCAGCAGTAGTTCCAGTAGTTCTATTTTTAAAAATCAAACATTAGACTCCAACATTGTTGTCTTCCTTAACCGTCCACAGATGTTGAATTAGATCTTCCTTCAGTTGCTCGTGAGTTATTTTCGATGCCGAATTTGTTGATGCATTTGAACAAACTCTTCAAATGTGGCTGGATTCTGGTCTAGAAGTTCGGTAGGATCACTCATGTTCTTAAATTCAAGAGCTGGAGCAGCATCCTAATCCTTGTTCTCCATGATCATGTTGTGCATGATCACACAACAGGTTATCACCTCTCACAAGGACTCCGAATCCCATTGAGTTCTGATAGGGATGTGGCATGGTGGCCGGGGTGGTGGACCGGCGGCGAAGGAAGAAAGAAAAAATGAAGGAGAGAAAATGAGGGGGTGGAGGCGCGGGGTCCGAGAGGGGTTTTGGGTGGGCCAGGGGTGTCGGAGTCATATGTGGCAGCTGACCGGACTCCCGCAAAGCCAGACCCCTCCTAGTTTGTGTTGGGTTTGCCGGGAAAAATACGTTCGAACCACTCAGCGGACCGATACAGGCCCGCGTCGGATGGCTAAACACGTTCGAACCGCACATTCCGAATGGTTACGGGCAGTTTGAGGGTCCGCTTTGGAGATGCCCTAACAACCTCGGCCTTTGGATCAGTTAACACATCGATTTTCGTCCTCATTTATTAGTCCCCATAAAAGTTTGCTTCAAAAGTTTGACCAGACATTTGACTAGCAAAATGTTAATGCATGTCACAAAAAAATATATTATTGGATTTGTACACATTTGACAAGCCAAGTTCTATAATGAGAAATTTCCACTAGTATATCAAAGTGACAACATAGGAGACTCTCTATCATGAAGATCATGGTGCTACTTTGAAGCACAAGTGTGGAAAAGGGATAGTAACATTGTCCCTTCTCTCTTTTTCTCTTATTTTTTTCTTTTTTTCTCTTCTTTTTTTATTTTGGTGGGCTTCTTTGGCCTCTTGTTTTTTATTTGGGCTTCTTTGGCCTCTTTTATTTTTCATAAAGTCCGAAGTCTCATCCCAACTTGTGGGGGAATCATAGTCTCCATCATCCTTTCCTCTCTTGGGACAATGCTCTAATAATGGAAATCATCACACTTCTATTTATTTACAACTCAAGAATTACAACTCAATACTTAGAACAAAATATGACTCTATGTGAATGCCTCCGGCGGTGCACCGGGATATGCAATGAATCAAGAGCAACATGTGAAAGAATTATAAAGGTGGCTTTGCCACAAATACGATGTCAACTACATGATCATGCAAAAGCAATATGACAATGATGGAGTGTGTCATAATAAACGGAATGGTGGAAAAGTTGCATGGCAATATATCTCGGAATGGCTATGGAAATGCCATAATAGGTAGGTATGGTGGCTGTTTTAAGGAAGGTAAATTGTGGGTGTATGATACCGGCGAAAGTTGCGCGGCACAAGAGAGGCTAGCAATGATGGAAGGG